GAAATAATTTCAAGAAATTCTTCTATAAAGTTTCCCAAAATGGATGAACACTCGAACGGAAAGAATCAAACTTAAGGGAGTTAGCACTCAATGTTCGGCCATCCGCCAATAATTGGGAATAAACACACAAATTAGAAAAATAATACTACATGCATCACAATTTCGAAGATCTGATGACTTTTTGCTTTTGTATTAACTATGCACATGTTTTTAACTCACAAATTTTTGAACACAATTTTTGGAAATGTACTACAACTAATTTATAGTTCAAATTAAATTAAAAATTTGCTTTGAAATTGCTCTTATACATAATAATGTGAAAGCAACAGTTACGATAATCAAAAAAAATTCAACTTGGTGTAAAACTATATAACTTATTTGGTATAAAACTTACCAAATAATAGTTTAGGAAATAAAATTAGAAAGAAAATTCAGTAAATTCTTCTGACAGGCTTACTAAATTCAAACAGAGTTTAGTAAGCCTGGCAGAAGATGGGTCGTCAAAGAAGTACTTGAGTCATGTAAACCAAAAATAATTTTAAATTTTTTTTTTCTATTAAAATTTTAGATTCTACTACTTAATATATTAATAATTCTATTAAAACAGTTAGAAATAACATTTCCAAAATGAATTTTGGTCCTAAAAAATTTCGTGTTGCGAAAATCAGTAAAATAATAAAAAAACTGTCAGCTTGTTTCAATTTTGAAATATATGTACGTATTGAAAATTCTATACACATAATTTAAAAAAGAAAATAGAAAAAACTTTCTATGTTTAACAATTTTCAAATTAAAGTAAATAATAAAAGTAAAAATATAATATCTGCCATATATGATTCTTCTATTAAGGTGTATGACACAATTAATAAAATAAATAAAACATAAAGATACGAGTAGTATGGCACACATACAATTGAGCAGCCAAAAGCTAAACAACAGTTTGTTTTATTTTGCTGTTGTTTTTTTAATTCTCTCTTCTTTGTGAATCATCATTTTTGTGACAAAGTTTTCTGATCAAAAGGTGTTCTTTTTAAATTTTCTGTTTTTCTTATTTTTAGGTTAATGATCGTTACTAAAGTGTAAAAGTTAACAATAAATTTTCCATATGTGAAAATTAAAAAAAATACTAAAATTAAAACAGAAAGAAAATAATGTTTTTATGGTCTTTTAAGTTCCCAGGTAGTGATGATACTATGTAGATTCAGAAATATAATTATTTGAAAGTACAAAAACGCAGGTGATTCTATATTTTTGCCCATTGCTTCATTTTTGGGTAGGGGTCTGTATTTTTTTTTTATATTGTATGTAATCAAATTGGATTTTGAAGAAATTGAGAGATAATTTTTTAAATGAATGCATCCATTACACTGGAAATATACGCATCTAAATTACTTGCCTAAAGTGCCAATATAAACCTATTTATTTATATTTTGCGGTTATAATAAATAAATAAAACCATTTTAATGTCTAAAACAATCTAATTTACTGTTATCGAACAACATAACATTATTTAAATATTAAAATTATTGTGGAACACTTTTTAAAAAGTGATTTGATTTAACAATAGTTTAAATTTAAAGGCTTCCTAAAATTTTATTTTCCTTAATTTAGCTTCTAATTGTAAAACTCGAATAGAGGCAGAAAAAAAAAGATTTTTGGTTCAAATAATTTGAATAAGTTTTTGAACATGTGAAGTTGTGTTTGTATCCCCTATTTTTGAAAACTTACTTATTAACGTAATAAAGGTTAACAAAAAAAGGTGTTCAAAGCAAAACTTACATTCCAACCTATGTACATCTAGATAAACATGCAAGGACATTTTACTATTTATTTTTTCCCATTTTATTTCTCTCGTTTTTTTTTTTGTTTTTTTGGAAAATGTCCAAAACAATCTTTGGAATTTGTTGTATTATATGATTTTTTAAATGTTAACATTATTAGATAAACATTTATGCACATAAAAAATTTTCCGAAATTCTCATTTCACCTGGCTTGATTCAAAAAAAACAAACGAGAAAATAAAGAGATTCAAAGAAGTTTTTCATAATTTTCAAAAAAAAAATAATACTTCCAAAATAAAATTGAGAATATGGTTACTTTTTACCGTTGAATAGTTCACTTAAATTTTAATTAGAATAACTTACTTCTGTGTTCAATGCCCGAGCTTGGCACGAGGAAGGTGGAGGTTTCGTTTTTTTTTTTTTGCGAGTTACGTTTTCGATTTAGTCAAGTTAAGTTTCACGCGTCATGAAGTTAATTAGACGTTCACTTGCGCCCACACTGCCGTAAAAAGAAATATCATATATTAGAAGAAAAAAATAGAATTAGAATAAGAGTAATCTTATGCAGAAATTGAGCTCTAATATAAAATAATTGCAGGAAATATGTATAAAATCGATTTTAAGTAACTTACTCTGCTAAGATTTTTTTCATTTTGTATCTTTACTTTTACGAATAAATTTCTCATTATTGTATGATTGAAAATAATTACGAAAATCTACAAATTTTTCTATTTGCAACTAACAAAATTGTTTTATTTTTCAAAAGTCTTTACCAAACATGCATGCATTTATTCTGACAATGAAAATCTATAATTTTTCAAAAAATTGTAATTAAACTGCTATAAATATTAAATAAAAAATGTTATCTTATCAATTGTTTGGTAAACTCAAGGTTAAAATAAAAGGTATTGAAAAAAAATTTAAAAGTTATATGGTTATTATTCATTAGCTTGTCTTTTACTTTTTTCTTTTTATAATTGAGTATTTTCGTATGTGATAGTTAATTAATAGTTCTTTAAATAAAAATTTATATAATCAAATCAAACAAGTCAATATAATTTAAGCTAATAATTAACTATAGCAGGTTTATTTGAAAGCTCTACACTTAATGTGAACGAAGTTTCAAAAGCTGTGCAGTTAGCAATTTCATCAGTTTGACTAGTTTATAACTCTCAAAACTAATCAAACTGGCTAACAGTTAGTTTTGCTCTATTGTGTTTCTGTGTCTACATTTCGTGAAAGAAGGTACACGGAAATGCTATAACAGCACTTTAAGCTAAATCGAAAAGTCTCGTTCGCTTCAGTATTTTTGTCCAAACCTTCCTCTATAAGTCGAGATGCCTTAACATTTACATGCTGTTTCAAACTTGGGACAGTATTCTACTTGGGGGACACCCAAATCCCTATGAATAACACTATTGCGCACATACCAGGGGGCACCCACCATTACGAAGGACCTTCTTTTGAAAAGTTTATATTTATTTGATGTGTGTTTGCCTGGCTGAACTCCATAGTTTGCAATGATATATTCATACATAGGCTTTATCATTTAATTATATATTAACAACTTATTGTATGTTGCCAATCTAGACCTACGACTTAGGAGCCAATAGTTTTCTCTATATTTGTCTTCTATTGTTTTCTTCATTACATATTCTTCCCATCTAAGCTTTATATCCAAAGTCCTACCTAGGTATTTCACTGTGTTTTAGACTGATACTTTAGCAACATTCAAATTCAATTGCGACGGGTTGACTATATTTTTGTTTGTGATATTTACATGTAGAATCTGCACTTTCTACTTTCATTTAGCTGTATTTTCCATTTATTTGTCTATTTACTTATGTAGTTAATTGCTTACTGCCAAAAAAGCTTTACAGTCGGCAAATGTAGCCATAGTTACACCCTCTATAAATGTGAAAAATCTCTTGTAAAAAGCACGTATAATAAAGACCTTCAGGCACACCAGCCTTAATTTCCCGTAGAATACTCCTCGCCCTATTTAATTTGAAAAAAAAACCTATCAGATAAATATGATTAAAGTAACTCCACGAATGGTGAAGGTATCTATTTGTGCCAAATCTTATCGAACACCTGAACCACGTTCAGGGATATTGTCAAAGATATTTGTCTTTCCTCTAATGATTGTTGCATGTTTTGTTCTTAAACCAAACTGATACTTTGTTCAGCCTTGGAACAAAAATATTTCAAAAAGTTTTCACATCATTCAGAAAAATCGGTCTATATGACTTTACCTTATTAAAGGGCTTCCCCAGTTTTTCTATCATAATAACTTCCGCTACTTTCCAAGCACTAGGAACATATCTCAGGTTTACTGCTGCATTCGTCACTTTTTTTAATAATGTCAATGCCTGTCTCGGCAATTGTGTTAATATCTCAACAGTAATAAAATAAAAATCCGGGGCCTTATTCGATTGCTTCGCAAATTTCTTTTTATTATTAGAAAAATTTTTTTACAATGATTCTAAAATTTATTTACTTTTAATTCCACAAATTTTTAGAATATTTATTATTTTCCTACTAGTTTCGACATTTACGTCATCATCGACTCTGGATCAAAATCATATTCTGGAAATTTGTGAAATTAAAAGTAAAAAAATTTTTGTTAAAACTCCCCACTTCAGAACCTAGTTGATCTATGATGTGCAGTATTAAAATTTACATTTCTAATAACATCACGTTTGAATCATCCTATCTGTAATCATACGTTCAAAGACGGCGTGATGCTAATTGGGCTGCGGTGAAACTGCTGCACCTGGCACGTCAACCAATACATATATTTATATTAGTTACGCATTTTTTATTATTATGAGTGGCTGTTCAAAAACTTTTTGCATGCATTGCCAAATAAATGCACATACATATTTTAATATATAAAATGAAATTGCCTTTTAATTAAATTTCTTAATTAAACAAACAAAATTAAAAAATGAGAACCAAGCTTAATTTTGTTACAATTTTTTTACTTTTTTTTGTTTTTGAAAAAATTTTAACTTCCAATAATGCGTTAAAGCTTCACTGAATAGCCTTTCGCTTTTTTCTTTATTTTTGTTTAAAATAATATATATTATGTACATACTTACGTTATTACTTAACCCAAAAATTATAGTACATACTTATGAAAAAAAATGGTTAAAAAATTTACATTGTTTAAAATTTCTAACAAAACTGTTCTTTTTTCTTAATTTTATTTTCAAGATCTTCTCGTTCAGATACAAAAGATGAAGAAATTACAAAGATTGAAAAACAAGTAGAAAAATATAAGGATGTTTTGGAAAAAATACATAAAAAAATTATCCCATCATCTGGAGATCAGGAAAGAGATAAAAGAATTAAAAAGGTCCATGAATTCAAATTGGGACAAGCACTTGAAGAATCATCGATTCAATTACCAAATGATTTGGTGCTATGTAACATTCTGAAAAAATGTGGTAAAAAACAATATTAATTCTTACTATTTAATAAATAAGTATTTAGAATTATGAAAAAAAAATTTGAACTGTTTTTGGTGCTTACATCAGTGCTTTTGTTTGCATAGTAAATTGATAAAAAAGTTTTAGTATTCAAAAACGATTATAGTATCCAGTAATAGAAATATCTAAATTATTTGTCAAATTCGTATTTAATTTTAGGTGAGTTAGAAAAGGAAATTGCTAAAAATGCTATTGATACTGAAATTGAAACGGATGAAAAAGTAGCGAAACAATTGAAAATTATCCTTGAGAAGGATATTCAAGACATAGCAACACATAGAAGAGCTGTGTCTCGATATTTAAATGAATGTAGCTCTATAAGAAAGGCTTGTGATGTAAGATATATTAAAAAGGGAGTAAATAAAATACGTATAGCTTAATTTTTTTTTTTGTTCATTTAGAATCCTCGCAATGATGATGCCAAATTAAAACAGTTGAAATCTGATTTAGAAGAATGGGAAACTAAATTAGAAAAAGAACGTGATTCATATGCTGCTCAAATGTTTGAATTAATTGCGAAAGATGAAGAAATTGGCAAATGTATAAAAACTTTAATGGAATGCCAAAGGAATTTTTATGAAAGATCCCTAAAACAAATTGATTCAAACTTAGATGAAATTAACAGTCATATCGAAAATTGTAAAAAAAAAAAGATATTCGGTGTACCACTTAAAGATCATTTAAGTTCGACTGGTCGTGAAATATCATATGTAATTGAATTATGTTGTTTAATATTACTAGAACGGGGCCTTAATGAAGAAGGTCTATTAAGAGTTAATTGTGCTGGAACAAAATTGAAAAGATTTAAAAATGCTATAGATGCTCAATATGCAATACCACCATTACAGCAGGATTATCAAGATGTTCATTTAGCGGCATGTGTTTTAAAATCTTATCTGAGAGAATTACCAGAACCATTATTAACCTTTGCTTTGTATGAGCAATTTTTATCTGCAGCACAACGTTCAACAATAGCTGAAAGAAAAAGTGCTATTAAAAATGCTGTGAATCAATTACCGAAAGAAAATTATGATAATTTAAAATATTTGACAAAATTTTTATGGCATTTTTGTCAACATAGTGATAAAAATAAAATGACATCGCAAAATATTGCCATAGTTATGTCACCAAATATACTTTGGCCACCAGATTCATCAAAGGATAGTCAAACATTTTCATTGCAAGTGTCTAGTTCAGCAAATGTAAATACCATAGTTGATCTTTTAGTCAGTGACTGGGATTTCTTTTTCAATGGCGCGGAAGTAGAGTTCGCATTGATGATAAAAGATAAATTATTTGCAGACGAAATATCTATTAGCAATATTAATCATAATACCAATAGTCATACAATGATGTCGTCTAGTATAATAAATGATAGTCAGCAAATAGGTAATGAAATACAACCACAATCAACAAGCAGTCAGCAAAATCAAAACCCGACAATAGGCTTTCAAACACATTCAAGAAGCAGTAGTCATGATACTAGTCGTATTTTAATAGGTAAGTGATATTGTGAAAATTATTATGCAAATTGTCATAACTCGTACTTATTGTTTTAGGAGTAACAGATAGTGCATCGATTGGCCGTAGTCATTCCAATGATTCTTTATCAGACGCTAGTCCATCACAAAGTGGCAGCCCTAAATTATTACCGAGACGAAAGCACAACAAAGCTTCTGCTCCAACACCCCCACACACTGTAAACAAAATACCTCCATCAATAACTTCTTCGACAAGCACAAATTCGTCTTTAACTCAAAACGGAAATCATCAGATTAGTGTGTCAAACACGCAATCGACACAAAAATGCGATGGAACTTCTCAAACTGTTTATGCATCAGAAAAAAATCAAGTCAAACCCGATAAACCACCGCGGCCTGCAAATCAACCAGTTGACTCTTTTACTTTAAATAGGGCAACCTATAAAAATCGGTCGAATGAAAAAATTCCTCCAAAACCTGTTGCAATGCCTAGAACTATTTTAAATATTACAAAAAGTACTGAAAATTTGTCGATCACGCCTATCGAAGAAACTGCGCCAACTATATCACAGCAAAGTATATTAAGAGAAAAACCTGAAATACGTGAAAAGCCCTCAATACCTGAAAGACCGGTTACCCTTATGCGGCCAACAAGTTTTCGAGCTGATAACGCATTTCAATCTGAGTTTAATCGACATGCCGAAAATTTAGTTTCTTTAAATGGTAATTCATCACAAACAAGTAACAATAGTAATAGCCTGGAAAGTAATAATGCTACGACGTCCATAAAAAAGGCTTCAAGCTTTAGGATGAACTCATCCGGATCTCCAGCAAGCTCAAACGCACAAAATAACAACAATAACAATGCCAATGGTACTTCTGTAAAAAGTTTAAACAGTAATTTAGCTAATAGTACGAATAGTTTATGCTCGACTAATAGTTTATCTAGTTGCCCAAATAACAGCGGCGGTAACCATGTAACTACTTTAGAACGTGCTCAGTTTTATAGTGTTGATAAACAACAAGTTGCTATTATTGATGTGGGTACAACAGGCGAAACAACAAAAACTACATCCACACCCTCTTCAGTTACAAGTAATAATACATCAACCGGTTGTACATCAGTCACACCAAAACCTAAGCCTACAAAATTATTTGAAAATTCTGCAACTTTTGCTGATAGTGCAATATCATCAACAAAGGATTTTATACTTATGGAAACTGGTGCAACTAACTTTATATCTAATAACACTTCAAATAACACAAATTGCCAAACAACTAATACAACAAACTCTACCACAACTACGACAACACCAACCAATCAAGTGCCAATTTCACCGCGTGGTTTAAATCAAAATATTAAAAGACCCCAAGTACCAGCGCCACCTCCACCAACAAATCGACGAAAGTCTGATGGTACTTTAGGTGATTCTACGCATTTATAAAAAAACAAGATAACTTTTTAATCGAACAAATTTTAGAAACAAAATAAAATTTAATTTTTTTTATTAATTCAATATTTGAAATGTTAAGTTTCCTTCTAAGTTTTGCGTTTTAGTTATTAACTCAAAATTACATTTTTATTTTTTTTAGAAACTTTGGAATAGTATTGTTATGTTTTATATTGTTAAGTGAATTACCTAAGGTTATCACTATTTCTGTGCTTTTTAACATTTAAAAAATAAATTAAATCGAAAAACATTTACCATATTTTTTTCATTATTTTTATTTAAAAATATTAAAATAACTACGTTCATATACCATTATTTTTAAATAAATAAAATTTACATCGATTTTAATATAATTATAAATAATTATAAATATGTAATACCTATAATATGTAATTTGCTAATGGCTCAAATAACAAAATACGTAGGTATCCATACTTTTTCCTTTAGGTGTATGAAAAGAATACCCCCTTTTATTCAGAATAAAATACTTTTATTAATTATTATATATTTCGCTACATACTCACTTTATCAAAGCTAATTTTCTAATTAAGGCAACAAACAATAAAATTAAAATTTGTTAAACTTTCAAATATCATACTTGCCTTAACCTAAGTTTTTACCTGACTTAATTCTATAATTTAATTTTTTTTTGTCTTTATTTTTTTTTTATTATTAATTATAAACTAAAATTATACCGGTTTTAATCGTAAAAACTGCTCAAATAATTAATTTAAAGAGCCAAGTAGCCGCGTTAATTAAAATTGGGGGTAAAATTTTTTTTGTGATGATATACATACATACATATAATTTACTCATTTTACAGATATTTTTTATTAGTGTTCGTGGACATTGTTTCTGGATTACGATTTTATTTATGAAACAACTTATTTATACGCTCTGTGGTTGAGTATAAAAAAATTTTTAAGTAGAAAGAGACCACGGGACCAAATTTATATTTTAGTGGGATCGAGTAAAACAATGTTAAAAGCCACTATACAAATGCAGATAATTGTCAAATAAAGAGAAATTTGCTATACGAATGAAAATATTATAAGGGCCAATTATCCATTTCAACCACAAGAAAAGCATTTTAAAAAGGTTGAGGCATGTACATAAGTATGTAATATGTATTAGAATTTAGATTATTACACAATTCGCAAAAGGCAATGAAATTGAAAAATTTTATATATGACGTACATATGTATGTATGTATTACATACTGATCCATATACATATTTAATTTTATTACAATATTTAGCTCAAACATATTACATGGTTCTAAAACTTAACTTAAAAATTTTAACAATCTTTAAATTTTAACATAATATGTACATATTATGTATATATATTATAGAAAGCAAATTTAGAAAACAAATTTTGACTTATAACAATTAACAAATTAAATATCACAAATAAATTAAAAATCACAATACATGCACATACATATGTACATATATTACAATTTTATTATACATTAGATAAGACGGAATAATTAAATATCTATAATAATCACCTTAAGCCTATTCAGTACTATTAATATGAATGTTGTAATGATGAGACGCGGTCATAGATGAGGGCGAACAAAAGATGAATATAGGGACTTCAAAATGTAAGAGTAGTTAAACTATTTAGGCCAGCGTTTAATAAAATCTAACATCGACCCCGTCTTGCCAATCATATAATTATAGTGATTTGGAAACGTCAATTTACCGTCAAAGTGAACCAGCTGTTGTAAGACTTTAGTCATTTAATATATATTCTAACACCACCGATTATTTCAGTCAAGAATAACAGATCAATGCACACTTGTTCACATTATTTTCAAATTGTCACTAGTAAAACATCCATAAAAGTTATTTAAATCATTTTGAAGAGAAATTGCATCAGTTATAGAACGGATGTTTTTGAAAGTCTTCATATCATCAGTATAAATTAACACTTCACTGCAATTAAAAATAGATGCAGCATCATTAACAGCGATGATGAAAAGCAGTGGTCCCAAATGACTAGCTTGGAGAACCCCAGAATTTGCCAAAGAGGGCGATGACACTGACGAACGAAGAGCTACTCTGTATTTTCTGCCGGAAGGTAGGAACCAAGCCTTATATAATTACAAAATTATCAGAAAATCCCAATAATTTCAGCTTCAAAATGATTACGTTATCAAAGGCTATCCAAAAATCAACACTCAATCCTCCAGCTTAAGATAATTGCATATACTTTCAACCAATGACGAAAGTTTAATAAACATGCCAGAATTAGAATTAGGTAGAATATAACAACCCACCACTAAAAGTTGTTTAAAAGTCAATTAATTAAAACTGCGATTATCTCCCGAAACTGAAAGACCAAATAGATCCAAACTATTGATAGAGACCTACATACGTTTCCTTCAAAAAAAAAGATATCACATTCCATTACAGAGGAATAAAATACAATGGTACTTGCTTTAGTCCTAAAATCCCGAACATTTTGTCTGAACCATGATAGGAGTCTCATGGTATCTTTTGAAAGTCTTAAGCAAAGGCACATAATCTACCAGAAGACCTTTCCCTTTAATAAAAACTTTAATACTAAGTGTAATCTTGCCGTCATAGTGTATGCGACTCGCCGCGTCATTTAAATAAGCAAGGTATAATTAAAAGTTATTGTACACGCTGTGTTTCCTCAAACGCGATAAAACATAGATGCTGTCTCCCTTCTCAATTGCTTTCTTGGTCATACGGACAATGGGTGGTAAAATAGGATTAATAAAGGCTTGGGATGAAGTATTGGACGAAACCGCCGCAATACTCGAAGGAATTGGTCTCTCTCTTGCATGGTTACATACTCACGGTCCTGCATAAGTACCCCACGGACAAAGTTGGAGTAGGTACCGTTATTAGAACCCGGACAATGGGTGGTAAAATAGGATGAATAAAGGCTTGGGATGAGGTATTGGACGAGACCGCCCCAATACTCGAAGGAATTGGTCTCTCTTTACTATGGTTACATACTCACGGCCCTTTATAAGTACCCCACAGACAAAGTTCGAGTAGGTACCGTTATTAGAACCCGTATCACTAAAATTAATTGAATGGATATTATTATTTATATTATTATTGTTATTATTATTACTGTTACTATAATTATTACTATTATTATTAGAACTATTATTAAGATCAACATTATTACAATTTTTACTCTTGTCTTTGAAATTATTGCCTTTGTTATTATTGATATGGATTTCTTTTTATTTTTACTTCTTTTATTACTAAATTTTTTTATTTTCTTTCTAATGTTACTGTTGTCATTCTTAATGTTATTACTATTATTGTTATTATTACTGTTATAAGTTCTATTTTTATTACTATTTTTATTAATTTTTTTAATAGTTGCAATTAGCACTATTGCTATTTTATATAGCACAATTTTAACAATAATAGCATTATTGCTATTATTACTACTATTATTGTTAAAATTATGGGTTTTGGGTTTAGTATTTTTAGTATCTACAGGCTGCTCTAATTAGAGATAACAAGAGAATATGTAATAGGTTCAAAACAAAGCCAAAATGAACTTTTTTAGTTCTATTAAATTAAGAATTCCAGATTCGTTTTACTACCAGCCTTTAGAGGATAATATTGAAATGTCGATATATATCAATTAATTTTTAACGATATCTATTTGCTAAATATATCATTGATTTTCTGTCGATATTTATCGATTCATTTTATTTACAAAAAATATTTTGAAAGTATGGACACAAATTATTTTCCGCTGAAAATTGGAAAGCAGCTGTGCATTTTTCGATTTACCCAGAAAACTTTGTCCTAAAAAGATATTTTTCAGGAACTGCAAGAGTTAGATTATAATTTGGCGTCGTCAAAAAATATTTCAGCTATTTTTAACCAAGTTACTTCAAATTGGCCTTATTATTTTTAATAAATGAGTTATCGGATATCCGTTGTTTTTGTAGGAGTACTTTTAAAACTTTTTGTCTTCACTATTCTCTGACTCAGGATTAAAAATTTGACTTAATTATTTTTTAATTTTTGTCTTGTTAAAGGAAAATTATGTATATAAATATTTGTATACATAAATGAAATTTGGAACATCGATTTTCACGTCTTCTCATTAAATTGAGTCAAAAACTTAATTCATACGACTGTGTAATTTGTAACTTATCTTTGCAAATGTAACAAAACGGGCACACTTTTTTGATATCGAAAAGTCTTCCAGCAATCCAACATCGAATATTTTGACATATATCATTTTTTTTTTGAGAAAATTTATTACCCCATAGATCGTGTTGGGCAAAAAATTTCTATTCTTAATTCTTTATTGAATCAATTTTAAAATATGGCTTTAGGTGATTATCCAGCTGACTATAATCCTAAAGTTCATGGTCCATATGATCCAGCACGTTATTATGGCAAAGGTAAGTGAAAAACAAGCAAAAATAACTTAAGGTTATTTCTTCATAATTACATAATAAAATTTCAACTGTAACAATAATTAACTCCTTGTTTTAGCTGATATACCTTTTGGGCAAGTAAAGCTTTCAGAAATTGGAAGTTGGATTAGCCGTCGTAATAAAAGTCCACAGGCTATCGCTGGAGCATTTTCTCGAGCATATTGGCGTTGGCAACACAAATACGTGCAACCGAAACGTGCTGGAATTGCACCATTTTTTCAATTAACATTTGCTGCTATGACGTTTTTCTATCTCATAAATTATGGAAAAATGAGACATCATAGAAATTATAAATACCATTAACCAGCTTCTTAACCTAATGCAAGTGATTCAATTTGAATGCATTGTTATATACTTACATATTATATGTGAAATATAAACTAGTATGAATTAAATCGGAATAGAAATATAATTTGTATATCTGGCTATTATTATACATATAGTACGTTTTCGAAACTTAAAACAATATTTTAAAAAAAAATCTTATTTACATACATGGGAATATTGCATTCAGTTTTTTTTTGCGTAATGCAAAAATCGTGCTGTGTAAAGTGGGTGTACAAATTACAAGATAGGAAAATGTAGTTTGCGCTTTAATTGTAGTGATGTCAATAGAGATTATGGTTTTTACAGTACGCAAAACGTGGTTTGCAGCATGAATCTAAATTGTAGTTTAAAAAAAAATAACTAAATGAATAATTGTACGGATATTTTTTAGATTGTAAGTTCTAGATTGAGTATGGGAGTACACTTCTTACACTTCTCTAAAGAGAATTATAACGTGGCTTGCAACCTTGTCAGAAAATGAGTTTTGCTATTACAGCAATTTTCAATAGTTTTGCATTAAATTAAATTTTTAGCAACAGCTCTTCGTAATCTAATTTTCTACATTCGAAATTATTTCTGACAACTAAAATTTCTAATGTATAATCATCAAAATACAAACATCGAGTTTTGATTGGAAATTCTTTGCCTTGTGGTCGCAATCTATATAGTTTTCCTAGGTTTAATAGGCAGCATATTGTAATCTACGAATGAACTATGTATTTCGATTAAGTACAAATAAAAATTCCTAACTGGTTCTTATATAATTGACAGTTTAATTGTCAGCAATTTGTATACCTCAAGAAATCTACTATTAATTTTATATACGGGTGACAGAAATGATTTTTTATAATGTCAAGATTTTATATCAAATTTAAAGTTTTATGCGACACAACTTTTTATAAATTTTGAAAGTAAACGAGTAGTGAGTAAAAATAATTTATGTACAAAAAAGATCTGTCTGGCATAAAACTTGAAAAACTTTGAAAAGAGAAACAGTGACGTAAAAAAACTTTATAAATATGTGATAAACCTCAATTTTCAAAGTACTTATTAAACATAAACATTTTTTGGTTATAACCAGTGCTCGAAGTGAGGCGGGATGGAGTGGGATGCCATCCCAGTACTTTTAAATAATTGGAAATCCATCCTACTACTTAATAGGAGAGAAAAAAGCGTTCCGGAACATGTTTTTTAAAATTTAAGAAAATTTTCTAATGAATTTTAAAAATTTTTTTAACAAAAAATTAAATATATGTAATTTTAAATAAATCCAATTTCAAATAGTAACGTATAATTTTTTTCTATTAATGAAATTTTCGTTACTACATAGTAGTCTATGCATTTCTTTGGTAACAATTTGCACAGTTTTTGATTTAATTTTGAATATAAATATTCTCGTTAGTTTACTTCCAAAGTTTGGTAAATTTTGTTTAGTTATTTTTTTAACAAAATAACTAAAATAATACTTTTTTTTTTATTTTTTTACCATCAAACCACTCAAAGTGGTTACGAGCGAGTTACTAAAATACGCAACGTTCTGAACGTCAAACTTTAAAAATTCAAAAAACTATATTTGAAACTTTTATGAGAAGTATACTAAGTAGTTGCAATAGTACAATAATATTATCTATTCGCTGTGACATTATATGCAAAATACTTAATTTGATTTTGCCGTTTCACTTTTGTTCTGTGTTAACATCGGAAAACGTCCGCCGTCACCGTCTTCTGCTTTGGTTTTGTTTTAAGAGTAAAGCTTCTCTATCAGAATATCATCGAAATAAATAAAAAACTATTGATAAAAAATAAATAAGTTTCTGTCGTACATCATAAACGATTGCAATCATTGACAATTCAATTTATAAAATGGAGACCCCAAATCAATGATAGAACAAACCTTAAATAATATAAAAAAAAAAATATTTTTTGACGTACGTCAGCACACTGGCAAAGAGATAATTATAAGTTATCACTAATATGGCTTTGACTGGACTTATTTTGAAGTCTTTTCAAGTAGTAAATTACAATGTGAGCTTTCATTAAATTTTTTTAAGCCAAATATGTGAAAACTTATAATCCTTTAGTTGCAGCAAGTCAGGACAAAATACGCTGATTGGCGAATGATAAAAGATGTAAAAAAGAGAAAATGTGTTATTCAACATGCAAAGGATCGACTGAGAATAAATTCGCTGCGAAAAAATGACATTCTTCCAGTAGAACTCAGAGAGCTAGCTGACAAAGAAATAGCTGCCATGCCAAGAGATTCATCTTTAGTAAGAGTTAGGGAACGCTGTGCATTGTAAGATCATAATTGTCGAAACTTTTTAATTTGGTTTCGTTTATATATAAAACATCTTTTACCTTCCGTAGAACTTCCAGACCTCGCGGAATAGTTCATAGATTTCGATTAAGCCGTATAGTTTGGAGACACTTAGCAGACTATAACAAACTTTCAGGCGTTCAAAGAGCAAAATGGGGTTGAATATTTTTTTATATAAAACAAGGAATTTTAGCTACTAAAAATTTATTAAATAATAACTGATTTAATACCAGTATGTTTTTTTTGGTGTTGAGTTATCTTCAATATTATATTCGTTCATTAAATCCATCTCAAAGGTTCTTAATTTTGGTTGAAAAGTTATTTCTGATACAGTCGCTGAAGCTGTGTCCTTGTCCCTCTCTACGTACGCACTTTTAGTTTTGTAGTCGTACGTCTCTTCATTAGAACTTGGTATGGGAATTATCCGCCCACTACGCTTCGATACTCGCACTTTTTCACCCTCTTCAGTATAACGCCATTCGAAATCTGTTTTTTGCAAGTCAGCTGGATCAACCAAAGAAATCTGACACGTGACTAATAGAGGGGCTTCTGATTTTATTGTAATACCAGGATAATTTTTTTCTGCGCCAACCTTCCTCAGATGGCAGTTTAATCCATCTACAATTACCCAATTTCTTTCAGGTATTACTTGACTAATAATTCCTTGTTTCCCAGCATCTTTACCAACCAAAACTTCAACCCTATCTCCTCGAAAATAGCTCCATTCCTGTATTGGTTCAATAAAAACTTTTTTTCTATGGGTTCCTGCCATATTTTGTTGTTTGAATTGAGCTGTCCATGGACGGTTTGTAGTATAACGGAACTTTTTACGTTCAATGGTGCGTGGTAAATAATTTGCTCTGTATTTTGGAGTTTTCCAGTATATTTGTCTTTGTGCCCTTTCTACATATTCCAAAGGCAAATTCGAAAAATCTTTCAATTTACTACAAAAATAGTTAAAAATCCTCATTCTCTATTAACAGTTTCTTAATTATGACGTCTACGTATTTATGTATTGAAATAAAAATGAACTGATGCGTTACAAATATACTCTAATAATTTACAAGATTTTTTGAATAACTACTAATTTTGACGTTTGAAAAAAAAAAAATGGCGTCACCAAAGCAATTTATTCAGGGAAACAAGAACTTGTTTAACCATACAGGTACATACTAAATTAATAAACTAGCGGTAGAATACATTTTTCCTTTTCTCTCTAAAAGGATTTCTTATTTACGCAATTTCCCTAAAAAATTTCTATAATCTGACAACATATGGTTTTGACAATTCATTATTTTAGAAAGGATAAAGTGTAAACCAAAAACAGATTAGGTAAAAGAATATTATAATGTATGAACAAAATTTAAAAGTGAATTAAAACATAATAATTATACTATATGTACATATTATAATCATAAAAATTATTCATTCATATCATCTTCATATCGTTCTTTATTCATTTCGACATCATCATTTTCGTATAAACTATCATTTTCATCTTCTTCATCACTAGTTTCACTAAGATCGCTAGATTGTTCAATGCACTTTGGACATTTGCAAATAAATAAGTAGTTATCTTTTAAAATCTGAAATTTGATACGAACATATTAAAGGTTCTTTTATATTTACTACATAAGTGTGAGTTTCTTATTTTCACCTTTTGCCTAGAGTGCCTGCTTCTCATGAGCTGGCACTCATCTAAATATGAAACACATATTTCTTCTCCTGATTGAATATGTTTTATAGCTTTCAGTACTAAAATATCATTTGAATATGGAAAACTTGATTGAGCATTCGGAATACAACTATGATTTATTTTACTTTGAATCTCATATAAACCAGAACCCTCATTGTTTAAAAAATCTCCAGCAACTAAAAATTTTTAAATATGCAGCATTATAATTTATAATAATAAGAAAACATATCATTTATGATAATAATAAGAAAGCTTACAATCGCTTAGTTTAGAGTAAATGTCATCTATAAAGTCATCAACTTCTTTTTGAATATCTAAGCTTAAATTTAACGATGTCACTTTTCTCACCCATTCGCCAAAAGGGCTTGTAGCAATCCCTTGTGCGTTAGTTCCTATTAAAGCCATTAGCGATGTGAATGCTTCTTTTGTTAAAAACTGAAATTATATTATTGAATTAGCAATTTAGTTTTAATAATTTATTCCTTACCATTTCAAATTCTTTACTTTGAAACGCTTTATGAAACGCTTCATATAATTTTTTGAACTGAGTTTCGAATTGTGTTCCTAACATCTTATGGCAAATTTGTTGCTCTTCGTTAACTATTATACTTTGAAACGAACGTAATGTCTCTAAAAATTCCTCTTTATTCTTACTCTGCTTGAACATTGCCATTAACCGAACAATTAGCATTATAGTTCCACTTTCGGGGGGGTAATGCATTTTCCTATTTTATATAAAAAATAAAATAAACAATGTATCACAAACGTAAAAATTACAGTTTTGATATACTTCCAAGTTTCGTTTAAAATGTTGACGGGATGTGTGTCATCATCTTTAAATGCACCTAAGCAGCAAGTCATATGATATTTCCTAAATGCTTCGACACGACAATCCTCTGAGCAATATTGGATTTGACATTCCGTACATTCTACGAATTGATCCTTCCATTCTTTTGTAGGACAATGTTCAGGATACGGCAGCACAATTGTGTTATTGTTAGAAAGTCTCCGAACGTTTTCCTTTAGAAATTTCAAATTTAGATTAGTTTAATAACTGGAAAAAATAAAATTAAACCTGAGCTGTTTCTAATGGTCGCATACAATGATCACACGCAGCGTATCTGTATGCTTTATTCCAAGAAAACTGGCAAGAAACAAAAGGTTCTTCTTCGAATATTAAATCACCTTCGCTAAAGTTTTTTAATGCTATTAGTGATCGACCCTAAAAAAATAAATTTTTCCAATCGCTAAAATAAATTTAAAAGCAAAAATTATTCGGAATTCGATAGTTTTGTTTCTCAAAACTTATAAGACATTATTTTAATATGTATATATTTAAAGTTTTAAGACAATGTCAATTACATGTGTACCTGGATTATCTTAAAATATAAGACTTATTTGGAGATTATACTTTATAAACTTACTTTCCCTTCTATTGTTTGCACTTCGAACTTATTCATAGCTCAATTTTTTGTTTCACCGTTGTATGCAATTCTAGTAACCTTTAAATATGAATTCATTTCCATAAATAAATTAGGCAAACACAGGTAATATGATTCAATGTTTACCTTGCATTAACATTTAATTTATTTTTTTTAATGACAAGACTTCCTTCCTTCTAAGAATGTACATATAAAATTCTTTGTAATCCGTTTATTTTGTGTATTTTTTTTTGTATAAGCCACGCGTTTTTGTTTATTGTTATTTCAATTTATTTTTAAAATAAAATGAAATTACCACGTGCCAAATCTAAATTTTAGTACCAACCTGTATCTTCTCACTTCTGCAATCTGAATGACTTTTAGACAGTGCTGATATTCTATCGTATGTGTAAGATTCCGTGCGTCTACCAAAATTAGAAAGTTATTGGCGTTAAGTATTCATTCTATTTCTTAGTTAGTTACTGTTTACATAACATGACAAAACCTACGATTTAATCTGAAGCTGATTGAACAGCAACCAGCTGATTTTTATTTTGTTTACAATTTTCGTAGAATTATAATTAAACGTTAAATATGACTGCGTCAGATAATACTATCAGATTTTATTGTAAATTTAATCTTAGATATTGTTGTAACTTGCAAACAGTACCTTACTGTTTTTGAATAAACATTTTTAATACCTTACGTTTGAAAAACAAATTAGAGGTAAGCGAACCTTTCAAAAGTGCCAAAATCAAAATTTTCTTAAAAAATACTTTGCCGTTTTAAGATTTTTTGGAATAAAATTAAATTAAAAAAAAAAATTAAAATTAAAAAACAGTCAAAGACAAGTTCTCCATTTTCAAGTTGTAAAACGGCCAAGATTTAAGAATACACTTCAAACTTTGGTAGTGGCAATTTGAGACTGCCGGTGTCAAAATTTACGACTTCATAACAGATTAAAGTTGTTGTTGCTTCAAAAAATTTTGAAATTTGCAATTTTGGAATGTTGTTTCATATGTCAAATAATGTTTTTGAATACTTTGAATAATGTTTTTGTCATAATTAATCAAATTACTTACGATTTTAATTAAAAATTATAATTATAATTGAAAACTTCGAATAATCTCACATGTTGAAGATTTTAGTACCCTTATATACTTATTGAAAAATTTGAAATCTGACATACCTCTGTTAAAGCTGGATTCATTGGTTCGTCGTTTTTGAGCTGACTATTTGACAGTTTGAGCAAAAATTTTGTTCACACGTCAAACACTCAAACCGTCAGATCTTTTTTAAAATGCGAGTTTTTTTTTCTTTTTTCTTATGTTTTTGAAGTTTTTCTTGTATTAAAGCTAGTATCGTCATTTTGAAAATATTTTTTTTGAACAGTGTAAAGTTTACATAACAAGCAAAGTTTGACGATGATATTTGACAACTATAGAATGAGAAGTTCTGCTTAAACATCAAGCATTTTTAGATCAAATCTAGCGTCAAATTTCAAATTTTTTATCAATCTCGAAGTATATTCAAGTTAAGAAAAAAGAAAATATAATTTGAATCAACGCAAAAGTAAATAAGTTAAAATTAAAGTCGTATAGTTTTCATCGAATTTATTTCCTGATATTGCATATATATATTCAAGATCAGAAGGTTTTGACAGCTGCTGCCGCAGTTTTGGTTTATCTTATCGATGAAAAAATCGAGGAAGAAAAACAAGAAAATAGTAGGAAAAGAACAAGAAAAATATGGTTTAAACCATCCTTAAGTAAAAGATCCTGTTTTGACATGGAAACACAATTACTACCCGATCTGCTAGAACGCTAGATAGTCGTGAGTCATGTTTTCGATATTTCACCAGAATCAAACATGATACATTTGAATTTCTACATGGCCTGGTTTGTATATTAAATATTCTAATCGGTCCGAATCCAGTTTAGCTGGTCCAGGAAACGATTTCTATCAAGCTGGAATTGGCAACCAACCTAAAATATTTGGCCAGTTGTGCTTCCTATAATTTCAAAATCGACAATTTCTTTATTCGTACCGAAAGTACAAACATAAATATATGACGAGCTGAAAGACGAATTCTTAAAGGTGAAAGCAAACGGTGTCTATCTGTCTGATGTCTATCTGTCAAACAAAGTCTAATGAGAATTCGATGATCTTCTAATTTTTTCATAAAACTAAGTCCGATTACAAACAAAGTCTAACGACGTTTATATATCAAATTTTCATCCAATCAAAGTTGTTGTAATTCTAATCTAACACTTTATTAGAATGCCAAAAACATTTCAAATATAGACCTAATGCTCAAAAATCCAAAAAATTGAACGTTGAATTGGAGTGAAATAAAAATTTTTCAATTATTCAATGTTGAATATTGTGCAGTCCACGGTTTCAGATTGTATAATACCTTTCTGATATTAGGATCAGTTTATTTTATAAATTATTACATTTTTGACGTTCTTTGTATAGTGCTTACCATTTTGATCAATGTTTTAAGCTTAGTATATATTGTGAAAGAAAACATACCAATATAATTAAAATTTTTCTTTCTAAATGTCAAACTAAATCAAACAAAAAACGTCATTATACTCATTATTATGAAGAAAGAAGTTTTCAAAACGAAAATTTGCTAAAAAAACTTTGCTTTTTTTTTACGGAGCAATTAGATTTTTTGGAAAAATTTTTACAACATTAACAGAAATATTTAAATATTAACAAAATTCAACAATTCAAAATTTAGAAACAGGGAATAGTCCAATACGGCGAGGCAATAAATTTCTATCAAAAGTCTAATAAAAAATCAAGGTTTGTAAAAAAGTAAGTATGTAGGTACAATACCCATTATGTGTTTAATATTATAGTGACCAAAGGAAGCAAAGTATTTCGTTTTAATAAGCGTTTTAGTTTATTTGTTGATAAAATGTTAAAAAGGTTTTTTATTTGACGGTTTACATGCTTAAATTAACCTTTTTTTTTAATCAATAGTTTTATGCCTTGTGGAAAATGTTCCGCCCCTTTTTCTGTTTTTAATAGCTTGATATAATTACATTTATTTTCGAAATTATAATAATTTGTGTTTCACCAGTATAAATCGTTTCATATTAGATAAAAAAAGGAACTATGTATCTTATCTAAAATTCTAATCCAATTGTGCAATGCACTGCTGCATACCAATATTTTATTTCGTATTTAGGTAGATATATGTACGTAACAAAATTATTTTTGTTGTATTACGTCGCAAAAATATATATTTGTTCTTTAAATTGTTTAAATGAATATTATACACAAAATAAAAATAGTTTTTCATTAATCATTTCAACTTCAATTTCCTTTCAATGTGACATATTCGATTTATAAGTAGTGTGACTCATAAAAGATAAAGCCTAAAGACTAAAATTAATAGGGAGTTAAGATTACACATATATCTCAAAATTAATAAAACCAAATAAATTCGAAAAGAAAATAAAATACTTTTTTTTTAACCAATTAAATTTAAAAATAAACTGATGTACTTTTTTTCTTTTAGCAAAATATGACAATACCAACACGACCCGCACCGCCACCTCCTCAAACAATTAGTCAGCAACATCAACAACAAAATATAAGTGTAAATCAAAATCATAATTTAGCCAAAATAACGATAACTTTGCCTCCTCCACCTTCAGCGAAAAATAAAGATCGTCAGCCAGATTCATTGTTAAATTCTGTCACACAGTGTTACACATCATCTTCGGGAATAACAGCGCGCGAAAATAACAACTCTAAAACTAAATCGATAACACGAAATTTTCCACAAGCCAAAACTCGGTACGCCCCGAGCACAAGTTGGAATGGTGTTCCTTTTGATTCATCAATTAGTACAACAAATACAAATAATAGAAAAACCCCACCTCCAAGACCACCTCCGCCTAAACTTGCAAATTCAAACGAAAACAAATTTGGGTCTTCAAATGGTCTACCAAAAACTTCTAGACCGCCACAATCTGTAAATGTTTTATCGAATTTGTTTGGTAGAAGAAAATCTCCGTCTATTTTGGGGAGTAGTCAAAAATATCCAACTTCAAAAGGATCCCAAATTACAAATTTACAAGTTTCAAATCATAATCATTATAATAATGCGTTAGGATCTGCAAATAACCTTTTTCCGGATTGGTCGTCAAATCAACAAACATTTTCTCCAACCTTAAATAAATCACCAAATAATATTGATTCGAATGACGTACAACTAATAAGTTTTGATTCCCCACCGAATTCTCCTACATTTACACAGAAATCGAATAGTGATTGTGTTAGCGTTGACAGTTTTAGCTCTGATTCAAATTTTAGTTCTCCACATAATGGAAATGCTTCCCAGCCAGAAAGCGGATTTGAAGATGATTTCAGTACAGCGAATGCTTCAGCAAACTCAACCCAACTAACATCTCCAGTAGATCCATGGGATATAATAAATGAATCGAAAAACGTCAATAATATTAACAACACTAATTTTAATTATATGCATTTAAATAATATGAAAAATATTGATGCCCACCCTATAAGAAATTTGCATATTCTGCAACGAAAAAATAATGAAAATAATGTTGCTGGTGCAGTGCACGAGAAAAATGTAATTTCATCTCAACCAAAATTTGGAATGCCCACAATTATTCGACCAAAGTTACAAAAAGGAGCTGCTCCAAAACCTCCGGGAGTTATAGTAAATCATAATCATATGTCCAAGTTTATCTCAAATTTCGATAATCCACAGAATTTGGACGATCTACAAGACAGTTTTGAAGATAATGATCCACCAATGCCTACCGGTCCACCACCTCCACCACCTTCCAATTTAATAAACTCAGATTTTGAAAATGCCGAAATAAATTTTGATAGTAAATATGATAATTTAGAAATTGATAATTCGCATGAAATACCCTATGGCATAGCCATGTATGATTTTAATAGTGAAGAAGTTGGCGATCTTAATTTCAAAGTGAGTTTTGTATAATAAAATTAAATATATTGAGTTTTTCATACATATATTCTTGTTTTCTTTTTTTTAGGAGAATGATAAAATTTATCTACTTAGCAGATTAAACGAAGAATGGTTTATGGGTAAAAATAAAAAAGGCTGTGAAGGAATTTTTCCTTGTAACTATGTTGATGTAAAAATACCGTTAAAAGAAGAAAAATGTGAGAAATTAGACAACCAAAAGAAAAGTCAATTTGCAAATTCCACATCTAATATTGTAAAAGTTTTGTACACATTTGAAGCATCATACCCAGAAGATTTAACTATTTTGGTGAGAGCAATTAAGAAATATTTTAGTGTAGTAAATAAGAGTACTTATCGAAAATAATTATTAAATTTTCTTTTTGCTTTTAGGAAAATCAAATGGTTAAAATTTTATATCGAATAAATGAAGATTGGCTGTTTGGTGAAATCAACAATAAACAGGGGCAATTTCCAGCAAATTTTGTAGAAAAAATTCCAGATAATTTAATGTGCAAAATGCCTTAGATTTCTTCCTGATTTTTGTTGTCTTAAAACTAGTAGTATGATGATATTAAGACATTAAAACTAAGAAAAAAAAATTTCTGTAACTTAAACAAATTTACTCCTTTTTTTTATAAAATTTTACCAAAACATTTAAAAAATTTTATAAGCTCTACACATTTTTTACATATATTTAAAATTAGAGTTAATGTAATTAAAAAATGGGATAAAATTAAAAAAATAATATGTGCACATATTCGGAATTCCTTTAATTATCTTTGAAATTAATGAGGTTACGATTATAAAAAAAGTGAATAATGAATATAATATTCTCATTGGATATATGAGCATATTTTTTTATAATTTAAAATATATACATATGTATGTATGTGAAGTTTTAGTGATAATTGGATATACATATGTACATTGAATTACACAAACTGATATTCTATAATTAAAAATTAATTTAAATTTTTCAAATTAAGAACGACTTTTAACGTGTCCTTACGAAAAATGGAGTATGCAGTTGTAATTATAAATTACAAATTTCATGAATTTGCATACTTAGAACAAGTTAAATAATGCTAAGGCTAATATTAAAAGAAACTGGAATATTGCATATTTCTTGCACTTCATTTCAATAATTTTTTTTTTTGGAAAAATTTAAGAATTTTTTATTTAAGCATTACGAATATGAAACAATGTTGTTTCATATTCGTAAACCAGATTTTTTCGATGATCTATAATATGCTAATTGTTTTGTGTAAATTACATTGTGTTATTTAGTTTATAATATGACAAAAGTTTTTTGTAAATAAATCATGAATTTTCGAGAACTTAAAAAAGATTTAAATAAACATTGTGTACATTTTTTTTTTCTTTATGTTTGTATTATTAAAAAGAAAATTTAAAATAGATTTAAAAGTGAAAAATTTTGAATCGCTATATTAGATGACGCGTAATGTTTTTCTCGTCACAGTATTTTATTTTCAATCAGCAGTTCACTTTATCACATTTTCAAACCATTAATAAATATAATTTATTATAAAATCATTTTTATGTTTTTCTTTAATATTATATGTATTTCCTTTTGATTACATAGTTTCTAAGACAAAAAAAATAGATAAAGTCCGCGTATCGTCACAGAAGTTTAGTTATTAATAAAATGCGGGTTTCTGTATGTTATGAAACCATAGTTTAATTATCATTTTCTTTTCGGAAAAAGTAGTACATGGCGTTCATAATTTATATTACGAAAAGCATCTTGTTTGCGTTAAAAAACTACGTTTTAAATGTTGTATTTATCTAGTTGTGTTAAAAAATTGAGCTAAAGTTCTTCATGACGGGAAGGGAATTTTTTTAAAATTGCGTTATACAAGTTGTAGAATGCATAAACCGAGACCGTAATTATAACAAGCAAAGCTGTTCCAAAGGCTAAACTTAGAAAATTACCTAAAAAGATTAAAATTACTAAAATTAAATTTCGTGTTATGCTTTCAAATGTTAAATTATACCATCAATTATTCCAGTAGATGAGTGATGTGGCTTTGTCCAAATATCCTCAACTCTTTGATTAGAGTTTCTTGCTTGTGCATTTCTTTCAGCCATTAATCGCTTCATATTGTTTAGTCGTTCTCTTAAAACTTCGACAGACTCAGTGTGATCTGTAATTAAGATGTAAGTATGTATGTATATTTCAACATTACATACATAAATAGGTTAATTTATTAATTTCAAAACATAAACAGGCCATTCTTACCATCAGGCATTTCTTGATAATTAGACATTTTGTATCCGAAAAAAAATGAAAAAGGGAGAATTCTGATGCTGCTAAATAGTAGATGCAATATCTTGTGACCTTAAATATAATATGTGAAAAAATTCGTGCGCATGCATGGCAAATGTTCATTTTCAACGTCTGCTCATTTACATATTTATGTACATATGTACGTATGTTGTTATTTTCTCAATATGCTTTTGGTCATTATAGGTGTCGCGCATAATAATGTCTATGGTCTTTGTATCTAAAAATCAATGTGAAACAATACAGCTATTTGTTTCAAAATTAATAATCATATTATGCAATTATATACATATGTAGTTTGATAAAGAATGCTAAAGTATATGCCTAAAAAATTCGTGAAAATTTAATAAAAAATTTCACCTAAATTTATTGAATATGCAAAATTAATTTCCATTTATAATTACGAGAAACTAACATTATTATTATTATTGACATAAAAATTAATTTTATTGCTCAATTTCAATATTTAATTGTAAATTCATTGTAATATTTATTATATTTCTTCCAACCAAATCGTTTTTTGGGATTCTTGTGGCTATTAACTGGATTTAAATTAGGCATAAGACCAGCTTTTTGAGCCATAGTTACTAAAGATCCAATTTTACGCTGTTGTCTTTTACACAATCCTGTCACTCTTCTTGGCAGCATACATCCGTCATTACGAACGTACTGGCTTAAAATTAAAACATCTGTATGTTTAATCTCCAAACCTAATGTACATTCTGGGCAAAAATTTGCTTTTTTTGCTTCATCCAACAGATCACGAGCTCTGGGAGAATCTTTGTAAACACCCTGAACAATCAATTGCTCACCTTCCTTATTTTCCAAAACTTAAAAATTTTTTTCTATAAATAATTTTTCCTTCAATTTCTAATTTTTTTTTACAGAAACTATACTTACTTTCTTTAATAGAGCATGAGGTTGTAGTGGAAATATGTTTACGAAAAATTGGTGCATAATTATGTCTAACAAGGGAAGTGATTACAAATTTTGGTAATATCATTTTTAATTTATTTGTAAAAAGGATGCTTGTTCTATTCAAATGCTTTTTAGTACTTTTATGTACATATGTGTGTATATATATACAGGTTATGTTTGATTTTAAGTGTCAAATGTAAAATTTGACATAGGCACATGTATACATACTTATATTACACTTGCAAATGTTTATGTTCTTCTAGAATAGAAAATATATACCTTACCTATATAATAAATATATACCATACTTATTTACTAGATTATATTAGTCTAAATGTAATAAAGTTTAATTAATGCCATATTTTTCTAAAAGCTGTTGTTTTCTTTTTCGTAGAACTGCTTCTTCTATCTCTTTTTGTGACGGAACTTCAACATATACAGTTACTCTTGAAATATCTATTTGATTTGGATTTTCGGTATTTACTTCTCCTACTTTTCCTGACCAGCTTTGTTTTGCCTTTTCTATGGCTAATTTTTCAGCTTTTTCCTCGAGGGGAATTAAAATGCCATCATCATCATCTAAATATCCATAATAATCAGCATCTACATCTTTCATCATTTCTGTTCGAGTTTTTCTAGGAGGCGGCGGAGGCTCTTGTTCAAAGAGCTCTCTTACTCCCGGCAAATCTTTAGCTGCACCAAAATACTTATATCCACGATTTCCAGGTACTTCTCTTCCTTCACTATCAATTACTTTTGGTCCATATCGCCTATAATGCGGACCACCTAGATATGATATTTGATTTTCCCAATGCCGTTTTTCTCGCAGTAATTTATTAATTTCGTCATTCAAATCGCGGATTCGAAATTCACCTAGACCTGCATTCTGAATTTGTGCCACCTTCTTTGAAATTTCCCTAATGATTTCCAGGCGATATTTTTCGCATTTAGAAAGATCAGAGCATTCTGAAGCTAGGAATGGTCTTCGATCTTTTTCTCCACTTTCAGCTTCTTTAGCAGCTCTCCAACGCGCGAGCGTTGTCATAGCTTTCTCCGCATTTCTAGCCATCGCGACTTCTTAATTCGACACTTTTTAGTCCTTAAATTTTTTTATTTAATTTATTATTTCATATACTTTAAATTCTCTTCTAAATTCTTCGTACTTCATTCCATACCAGTGTGACCATCTTTTCCTTTTTAATTAAATTTTTTTTAATTTTGTAGGTAGTTTTCTCACTCGTTTAACTTTACTGTTTACACTTCGGTTTGGTAGCAAGTTTTTAGGGCAGCTTAGCTCTTTATATTTAGAATTAGGGCACGTTTTTCTTCCTTTTTTCGCAAATTGTTGAATCGAACTCAACTTTGGTTTTTCAAATTTTCAATTTCATTATTAGTTTATATACCATACTACTTCAATAATTCCATATGTTCTATGACTGTCAAAAAACTGTCAAGTAAAATGTATTAAAACAAGTCCGTTCAGGTAATTTCAAACGCACTTATAAAACATCAAGAGATTTTTCTCTTTATTTTGCCTTGAAATAGCTTCGTTTGAAAACGACAAAACGTACATTCAAACCCTAAATGGCTTTTTCTCTAAAATCTGGGTAATAATTTTATATTCATTCATTTAACATAAACCGAAAATACGTTAAATTTCGAAAATAAATATCACTACATTGTCGAAACATTTTTGATCTTTTAATACTTGCAATATACTTCATAAAATATGTTGATGAACTTAAGCAATTTTGTGTAGGCCTTAATGCGTTATGGTTTTTCATTTTACTTTGGCATAAAAATATATGAATACTTCAAAAAAAAAAAAAAAATTTTTCAGTCCTCCCCGGGGGATTCCACCTCGTCATGGTGGGGATGCTTATGTAGGACTAAAGAACCAAAGAGCGATGTCGGCGGATACTGTATATTTTTACAGTGTCTGGCAGGTGCAACCATGCCGATAAGGTCGAGGGGGAGGACCGTGCTTAAAGATGGAAACAGGCCTTGAGGAACGTAATGCTACTGAATGGAATACCGACGAAGAAATGCGAGCGTTGTCTCGATCTTCGTCATCCACAATGATCCTGTGTGAGGATTATTATGAGATTAGCTCAGAGTTCAACTCACAAGGGGTCAACAGGAGGAGGTTTTACTCGAGCTCTGGGACGAAGGATGGTCGTGACATAACCATCATCAGTAAGACTGACTCCGTTTCGCTGTCGGGAGACGGTGGCATTAGCACCGGGACCGTCAGTGAAGTTGGCTTCAGCAGGATTAATCCGTTTACGGGTGAGGAATCAAGGAACTAGGTATGGGACGCGCGGAACAAGCTACGCAGTGTTAGAAGGAGGCTGCAGCGGCTATCGCTCAAAACCCCGGAGGAGCTTAGTCCTTGGGAGATAGGGCAGGTGGAGAAAGCGAAGGCGATCCTGGACTCGAAGGAGATCAGAGAGGTTGCGAAACCCATGATTCTGGAGAGAAGGAGGCCTGCTGCTCCGGTTTCATCGGGTTCCGGTGTGCCCAACAGGGCTAGAGAACCCGCTGGGGCTGCAGCGAACACCGAGGGAAGGTGGCTCACCCAACCAAGGGTAAAGCCGAGGTTAGGAGGGACCACTCCCATAGGAAGACGGGAGGTTCCGATGACGGTATCCTCCCAAGCATCTCCAAGAAAGGGAAAGGCACAGATTCGCAGGAGGGAGAGGTGAGGCAGGTTGCCATCGTGGATGAAAGCGACCCGGAAGGCAGGTTGGATCATAAGAAATGACAAAGGGTGGAAGAAAGGATCCAGGATGAGCTACTTTTGGGTACCCAAACCCTACGTTGCAGCAGAGAAGGTCCTCAGGCTACTGATTGCACAGAATGGGAAGCTTGGGGCTGAGGATTGGACTGTGGTTGGGGAGAAAGTGGACAACACTTCCTTCTGAGCATAAATAGGAAGTCGTTGCCCTAAATAGAGAAAAATGGCGGATTGATAAGGCTCAGCTTATCCAAGGTGATGCTTAGGATTGTTGGGGCGGGCAGTTCGGGAGATGGAGGTAATCCAAGTCAACCTCCATCACAGTAGGGCTGCTACTGGCAATCTTGTGGGGTACATGAGCGCTAATGTCATCCACATTGCGCTCATTCAGGAGCCGTGGTTAGATGGAAAGGAGAGAATACGAGGCCTGAGGCTTAACGACTATGTCCTGTATTACAAAATCGGAGTAAGTAGACAGAGATCTTGTATTTTCACCAGGAAGGAACTAAAACTTTTTCTTTTAGATAACTTTTGAGACGGCGATACAACTGTGGTGAGGTGGGAAGGATTTGCCTCTTCTTCTGATCTCATGTTATATGCCCTAAAAATTCAGAGAGGCTATCAGGATGTGGAGACATGATGTATTGGTTGGGTGTTAATCAGCGGATGTTAATCAGCGAGGTGAGTCCTTAGTAGATTTTCTTAGTGGTACTAACCTTTGTGTATGTAATAGGGGTTGCGACCCTACTTTCGTCGTTAGGAATAGGAATGAGGTACTAGACTTTACTTTGGCTACTAATTTGGGGAAATTAATGGTCAGTAACTGGATGGTATCGGAGAAGTCTTCCCTCTCGGACCACTGCTGGATTCGTTTTAGGATAAATTTGCAACTGGAGGTGGGGACGTCATTTAGCAACCCTCGAAGGGCAAATTGGGATGGGTATTCGGCGGCCCTGGAATCTGACATGGCTAGTCCGGTACAAGAACTGATAAGAAGGGGTAAGTCGATTGACAGTGCGGTTGAGTGTCTGAGTGCGGCTATGAGGGGGCCTTCGAGGCCAATTGCTCCATTAGCCGCCCTGCAAAGTGTGAAAGACCACCATGGTTGTGTAACAAAATTAGTGAATCCATGAGGAAAGTAAGGAGGCTACCTAATTTGGTGAAGCGGGGTAGCAGCCCATCCATGTGGGATGAATATAAGAAGGAATTGAGGGTTTTTAAGTACAATAAGGAAGGCTAAACGGAGGTCTTGGAGGAGCTATTGCACGTCATTGTAAAATACCAATGAGGTTGCAAAATTAAGGAAACTACTATCGGGGGAGCCCTGGTACCTGGTTTTGTTAAAAGAGATAGTGGTACTTGTGCTGACTCTAGTATAGAAACGTTGGAGGAGCTGATGGGGGTTCACTTTCCAGGATCAATTCCCGAGGGAAAAGGAAGAGCAAAAACCCAAGGGGGTTCCGAGAAGAGGAACGGAGGCTGTACGAGCTTTAGGTAAAGAAATTTTTACGGGGGAGAGGATACAGCGGGCTATTAAGTCTTTTGGCCCCTATAAGTCTCCGGGAACGGATGGGGTGTGGCCTATTATGCTGCGGAGGGCACCGAGAGTGATCATTGATTGGTTGGTGGTAATTTTTTGTAGCTGCCTGTATATGGAGTATGTCCCTAGAGAATGGAGAGAGGCCAAGAGGCTTGGGGTTGCTATGACGGGTGTATGTCGTGGATGTCGGGATGTGTCGGAGGTGGAGGATGTACAGCATATCCTCTGTGCCTGTCCGTTTCTGATGTGGAAGAGAAGGCGTGTCTTGGGGGCTTATTTTTACGATGGCCCGGGGGACCTTTTCGAGGTGTCTCTTGCGCGGCTTTTGGGCTTCGTCAGGGAGATTGGCTGGTTTGGATAGGGGGTCTTGTGTGTCGAACTGCATGGGGGTTGTTGGGTGTTGGGTGTTTTGGGGGTTGCCGATGGGCCTTTTTCTGTTGCCCTAGTGCATGGGCTTTGCGCGGGTGTAGGGGTGGAGCCCCCCTCTCTTACTTACTTGCTTACTTATGCATCAATGCGTACATACATATGTATGTAAATATACTTCATATATCATAGTGATGAACTTAAGCAATTTTGCGTAGGCGTTAGTGCGTTTTGGTATCGAAAAAAAATGCTTTTGAAAAAAAAAATTTTTATTGAAACAATAAAAATTTCAAACAATTTATTGAAATTTAAAAAAATTAACAAAGCCTGAAACGTTTTTTAAAATCAATATTTTAATGTTATTACACAAAACTATAGAGATGTTATCACTAGTAAAATAAAAGAAGATTGAATTTTAACTTCTTGTAACTAAAAATTTGAAAGAATATGATCTTGTGTAAATTCGTTAGCTATGAAGTTTCACTCTTTCTTAGTCTGTATTTATATGTCAGCTGTGGTTCTAACCATATGAGATCCCAAAGTAAGTATGTATGTACATTTTTTAAGGAAAATATATAAATAGGAAATCCCATTAGAAGAAACGTTGATCTATATACACTTCTACAAATACTTGAATAGATGTACAAAAAAATGATCAAAAACGCTTTCAATAATTATCAAACGCAAATCAAACTTAAAATTAAATGACAAAATTATCGAAGCTCCAAATCAAACATTTCCTTTCATGCTCTGTCATATATTTTTACGATAACGAAAATATCATATATACATATAATATTACTTAATGCAATCCTAGTGGTATATGTATATGTAAAACTCAATAGTAAAATAAAAATGATTACTTATAAGTAATACAAACACTTCAAATAAGTTTACCCATTATTATAAAAAGTGTTCATATTTACATATGTATGTATAAACATACCATCCATTTATGTTAAAGTTTAAAAATTGATTTCACTTGTTTCACTAGGCCCTGAAAATTAAAATTTGCGTGGAAGTTAACCAAGTAGTTGAAAAGGTATAACTATTAACACAGGTATGTGTTTCACATGTAACTAATGTGAAATGATTTTGATTAAAATAACAGAAACATGTATGTATGATCTCCAAAAATTGCTTTAATTAATGACCCATTAATGTCGTTCTATTGAACACATTACCCACAAAATTTATCAAAAACTTTATTTTCAAAACTGGTTATTTTAATATTTTAAGCAAATACAAAAATTATGCCGTTTTGCCTATACCCCAAACTTTCCACTATAAATTTAACAAGATTGATCTTTGGAACTATACTTTGGTGATTTGTTTTCAGTAATTTCAACTTCTGTATAGGATTCATGAGATATATGAGGAGGTAATATGGCCACAAAGTCTAAACCAGAGTTTTTAGTAATTTCAAGCACTCCTTTTGTACTCCCAAAAAAGAAACGAAGACATTATTACTGAAAATTTCTTTAGGTTTAATGTTTTCATTGCCTCAACAACAATTTGAGTTCCGGTTGACATTTCCGTAGTTGGCTCCAAATTATTTCGGGTTCCTAAAATAACGCACTCCTTCAACACCATTAAGCAAATTTTTAACATTATCCAATTTTGTAGCATCCCCTTCTACAAGTTCTATTTCTTGTTTTGTCTTAAATGCCTCTGACACTGTACTTAAGTTCCTGTACATTAAATGAACTTTAAATCC